AGTGAATTCCATGAGCATAGCTCTACTGCTGCACTTCACTGCTTGAAGTGAGTTCCTTGATTCGAAAAGAATGATGTCTGGAATACCATGATGTGGATAAGGCATTCCGTAAGTCCACTGGTGGTAATTTTGACTCATCGAAGAAGGGAGGACAAACACATAACCACATTTGATCAATTCCAGTAAGAACAAGCTTCTGTCTCTTCCACGATGGAAGGAGTCCAACATAACCAATCTATCAAAAGGTTGATGATTTATCACTCTGGGCGATGGTGCCATATCAGGGACTCAGTGTGGTCTCCACTTCTGGTAGACTGGGCACTTGCTGGTGGCCATGGGCAGGTTGGCCTTGCAAGTGAAATTTCACGTGGCTGAGCCCATGCACAGCTTTCCTCCCTGCCCCTAGGGCCACATGTTCTCATGAGCTGTTTGGTCAATGACAGGAATGCCTGGGAAAAGAGGCTTCCTGGTACCCTCAGAATGGGTTATCCTACCCATGCTATTTCTAAACTCCCCTGCTGAGGTCACTCTTTGGTGACACAAATACCTTCATGCTTTTTTCGCATTCAGAGAAGGCTACCCATATACCTCTTCCCAGGATTTTCTTGTCACCATCCAGCTATACTTTAATCACAGCCCATACATTGGTTCAGTCATCTTCCCTTACCCACAGTCTCACTTTCCCCAGTTTCAGTGTGAAGTATGCATAAAACAAATGTATTTCACTTTTATCTTTCCTTGTTTTTCTGGTCACCTTGAGTTTGCAATATACATTTACGGCCAATCCAAGTCTTCTTTCAAATAACACTACGTCACTTCTCAGTAGTACAAGTACCTGATAACAGAGTATTCTCAACTCCTCCCTCCCGTCCCTTATAACATTGCTGTCATTCACTTCACTTATCCATACACTATAATCACCAAATATATCGCTGCTGTTATTAATTTGAAAAAACTGTTATCTGTTAGATCAATTGAGAATAAGAAAAATAACTGATTTTATTTCACCTTCATTGATTTCTTCTCTAATGCTCTTCCTTTCTTTATGTCGATCATAGTTTCTGATCTATCATTTCCCTCTTTCTGAAGAACCTCTTTTAACATGTCTTGCAAGGACAGGTCTATCGGTCACATGTTCCCTCAATTTTTGTTTGTCTGGGAAAGTCTTTCTTTCTCCTTCACTTGTGAAGGACAATGTGACTGGATAAAGAATTCTGTTCTAGTGTTTCTTTCTTTTAGCACTTTAAATATTTTGCTGCACTCTTGTCTTGTGTGCACGGTTTTGGAAGAGAAGTTTGATGTCATTCTTTGCTTCTCTCTAGGTTAAGAGTTTTTTCCTCTGGATTCTTTCATGATTTTTTTCTTTATTTTCTGCAGTTTGAATACAATGTGACTAGGTGTAGAATTTTGGTACTTGTCCTGCTTGGTGTTGTCTGTACTTCCTGGAACTGTGGTCTGGTGTGTATTATTCATTTTGGAAAATTCTGTTATTATTGCTTCAAATATTTCTTCTGTTTCTTTCTACTGTTCTCCTTTTGGTATTCCCATTACACATATTTACACCTTTTGTAATTGTCCCACAGTTCTTGGATATTCTGTTCTTTTTCATGCTTTTTTTTCTTTGCATTTCAGTTTTGCACGTTTCTATTGCTGTGTCTTCAGGATCAATGATTCTTACTTTGGTTGTGTTCAGTTTATTGATGAGCCCATCAAACCCGTTCCCTATTTCTGTCATGGTGTTTTGATTTCTAGCATTTTCATTCGATTTTTTCTTAGTGTTTCCATTTCTCTGCTTACATAAGCTATCTGTTCTTCCATATTTTCCTAGCTTTCCATTAGACACCTTTGCATATTAACCATAGTTTAAAGTTGTTTTCTGTTCTGATAATTCCAACAAGTCTGCCATAGCTCAGCCTGGTTCTGATGCTTGCTTTGTCTTTTCAAACCATCTTTTTTGTGTTTAGAATGTGTTGTAATTTTTTGAAGTCAGATATGATGTATTGCTTTAAAAGGAAGTGAGGTAATTAGGCCTTTAGTGTGAGTTTTTGTGTTTATCTGGCTAGTGGTTAGGTAATTTTCTGTTTGCTGTAGCTTCACTATTGGAGGATAAAATTTCCTCTGGTGTCCCTGTTTTTGTCTGCCCTGTTGTCTTTGGGTTTCCCTAAAGACATCTTCTGAAATAGAGCTTGAGATACATAGTTCTTTCAGTTGCATTCCCTGTCATTTTACAGGAACACTATGGATGTGTGGTATAGGGGAGGGGAAGCATCATACAGTCCTCTGATTTGTTCTCAGGTTTTTAGTTGGCCTGTGCCCCTGGGCTGCAAACTTCACAAGTGATTCTCAGTTTTGTATTATTTTATCCCCTTAGGTGGCACAGGAAGGCTAGGACAGTTGGAGTTGGGAATTACCTTTCCCCTAGATCAGTTAATTGCTGGTGAAACCCAGTCAGTTAGTCTCTGGTAAAGCTTCTCCTGAGTGCAGACTTTCTTAAGAAGAACAAAATGCTCTGGACATGTTTGTAAGTGGCTGCTTTTTTTCCTCCCCCTGCTGGAAGTACGAAGAGAGTCTTCTCTGACCTTCACTGCGAGAATCTGGTAGGGCTTCTGGAGGTAAAACTCATGAAACTATGGAGGCTCCTTTAAGACGTGGTCTCACTGGAGTTCTTACCCCCAAACTTGTCAACATTGAGCTTCCAACAATGGATCAATTACAGTTTTAGTTCTCCTACACAATGAGTTGTGATTCTCTTGAACTTGGGGCAGTGATTTGCCCCATGACCTCAATTCTCTGATGAATCTAAGAATAGTTGTTGATTTTCAGTTTGCTCAGCTTTTTTATTATTGTGTAGATGGGAGTGATGACGTCCAAGCTCTTTAAATACCAGACCAGAAACTAAAAGTCTACTTCATGCTTTTGATTTCTGAATAATATTCCACTGTATGTACCACATTTTGTTTATCTGTCTGTCCGTTGATGGACACTTGAGTCGTTTACACCTTTTGGCTATTATGAATAATGCTGCCACAAATATTCATGTACAAGTTTCTGGGTCAACGTATGTTTTCATTTCTCTTGGGTACATACATAGCAGTAAAATTGCTGTTTCTTATGATAACTTTATGTTTAATCATTTGAGGAACTGCCAGACTATTTTGGCATCACCTTTTTATATTTCTACCAGGAGTGTATGAGTGTTCTGATTTCTGCACATCTCTTTCTCTTTCAGCAACACTTATTGTTATCTCACTTTTTTATTCTAGTCACCCTACTGGATATGTGGTGGTCTCTCACTGGGGTTTTAATTTGAATTTCCCTGATGACTACTGGCTTTGAGTAGTTTTTTATGTGCTTATTGGCCATTTATATATCTGTTCTGAAAAACTGTCTATTCAGATCTTATGCCCATTTTAAAATTGGATCATTTGGGTTTTTATTTTTATTATTGAATTGTAAGGGTTCCTTATGTTTTCTAGATACAAATCCTTTATTGCTTACTTAATCTGCAAATATTTTCTCCCATTGTGTGAGTTGTCTTTTAAATTTCTTGATGGTGCCTTCAAAGCACAGATGTTTTATGTCTGATGAACTCCACTTAATCTATTTTCTTTCTTTTTTTTCATTTGCTTTTGGTTTTATATCTTAGAATCCCTTGCCGAATTCAAGGCTGTAAAGATTTGCATGTGTTTTCTTGTAGGAGTTTTATAGGTTTTACTCTTATATTTAGGCCTTTCAGCCATTTTGAGTTAATTTTTGTATGTGGTGTGAAGTAAAGATCCAACTTAACTCCTGTCTCTGGCTCATCCGGTTATCCCAGCACCCATTTGTTGAAAAATCTTTTCTTTGCCCATTAAATGATCTTGGCACACTTGTCAAAAATAACACCTTGTCATAGATGTATGGATTTATTTTGGAGTCTCAATTTCGTTTTATTGATATATATGTGTATACTTGTACTAGTACCACATTGTGACTGTTGCTTTGCAGTAATTCTTGAAACTGGGAAATGTGAATTCTCTTACTTCATTCTTATTTTTAATGATTGTTTTGGATATTCTTATACCCTTGCAATTCCATTTGAATTTTAGAATCAACTTGGACCTGCAGATCATTTTGGGGAGTATTGTCATCTTAACAATGTGGTCTTCTCATACATGAACAAGGATATTTTCCCATATATTTAGTTCTTTAATTTCTTTCAACAGTGTTTTTTTAATTTTCAAAGCATAAGTTTTGCACTTTTTTTTTTTTTTGGTATAACTTCTTATTTTACTAGGTCAAGACCAAAGAACACAGTGTTGAGCAAGTTGTTCACTTTTCCTTACATCACACATTTATTGGTCACACATATACTATTTAGAATTTAATTAGGTTTTTCCTAGTACTTTCCTATTTTATTTATTTGTTTATTTATTATTGGAACACAGTTGATAGTACATATCTGTGGGGAACAGCATTGAATATCAATACCTGTGTGCATTTTGTGGTTTTCAATACAGGATAATTAAAATATTCAACATTATACAATGTTACCAATTTTTGTCACCCTTTACCCATTCCTCCCTTATCCCACTATCTTTCCCATACTTCCTTTGCTAAACTTATTTTAACAAAGATTTCATTTTTGGATCCTTCATTACAAGTGGTCTTATTCTGCTCAGGCTGCCATAACAAATACCATAGACTGGGTGGCTTATACAACAGAAATTTAATTTCTCACAGTTCTGGAAGCTGGAAAATCCAAGATCAGGGTTCTGGCAGAGTTTGATTTTTGATGAGGGTTCGCTCTCTGCCTTGCAGATGGCTACCTTCTCTCTGTGTCCTCACATGGACAGAGAGAATGGATGTCTTTTCCTCCTTTATAAGGACACCAGTTCTACCAGATCAAGGCTCTACGCTTACAACCTTATTGAACCTTAGTCACCTCTTTAAAGGCTCTATCTCCAATACTGTCACGTGAGGGGTAGGGATTAAATATAGGAATGGAGGGCACAATTCAGTGCATAGTACAAATGGAGAGAAATACAAGTGATTTTAAAAAATATTATTATATTGCTTTTGTATTTTTAGTTTGAACAGTTTTTTAGTGTGTTCCTTAGGATTTTCTATACACAAGATCATGTCATCTGTGAATAGATAGTTTTATGTCTGCTCTTCCAATCTTGATTCCTTTTTTTTTTTTTAACTTTCTTGCCTAATTACCCTGGTTAGTATCTCCAGTAGAGCATTAAAGAGAAATTTGTAAGAGTGGACATTCTTGTCTCATCTCTGAACTTAGAGGGAAAGCGTCCATTCCTTCACCATCAGGTCTCAGGTTACCTATAGATTTTTTATAGATGCCGTTGATCAGTTTGAGGAACTTCTCTTCTATTTCTAGTTTGTTCAATGTTTTTATCCTGTTCTAGGTGAAAGAATGATTTACTCTGCTGCAGTGAAATTACCATCAATGTTCCATCTGCTTTTCTCTTTCTCTTTCATACACATAGGTCACCTGCTCTCCCTGACTGGACAGTTGCAGGCAGAGGAAGCTTATGATCCATCAGCTTCTGAAGATGAAACCTTGAATTAATGTCCCTCCACGATGACATACAGTGGGCAGAGGTAGTTTCCCGAAGGGAAACAGGATGCTATTACGAAGGGGATAGGTGCTGGAGAGCCAAAAAACAAAAACTACCAACCAAGAGCACCATCTTTATAATGACACTGTGTCAAGTACTTTACCCAATAGTATCTCATTTAACTCTCACAACAGAACAATGAAGGCAGGTGCAACTATTCCCCAACACACACACACACACTGCAGATGGAGAAACTTAGGATCACAGAAGTAAAGCCCTTTGTCTGAAGTCACACAGTATTTGGAACTGAGATTTTGTTTGGAGCGGAGATTTTAAAGCACATCTGCCTAACTTGACAGTAGTGCTCTTGACCATGGCACCTTGACCAGATGTTCTGCCCCTGCAGTGAGGGAAGCACACACAAGCTCGTTATTTCTCTGTGCCCAAATATCACCCTTAACTTACTGTGGTAAACCATCTTCCCATAGACACAGCTTCCGTAGAAGTCCGTATCTCTACCAACTGGACTTCTGCAGACCTGGGGACTGGGACAGGTGCAGGTGTGTTCCGTGTTCCTAACACACATAATTTCCTTTCCCATGAGCAGGAATCTGATGTTACAAATCGAGTGTCATCTCCCAGCTTCAATAACAGGAAGAACCGTGGGTTCAAGGTAGACAAGGACAGATGACTCCCAGGAGATGACCTCTGCTGCCCAGGTGAGCAGGGAGGAATCAGCCTTTGTCACTCATTAAGAGTGTGCGTGAGTGTGCAGCAGGGACTAGGCTTAGTAATGGATCAGCTTTTTGTCCTAGCCTCCTCCTGTTGTGTTCTGTCCAGAAGCAGTCCATTCGGTCTGAATGGGGGTGACGTGGTCAGTCTTTGTTTTAGAAAGATCACTCTAGCAGCTGTGTGGTCCAGAAAGACAGGAGGGAATGACCCTGGATGCAGAGACGCGTGAGGAACCTGCTGCAATTGTTCAGGCCACAGGGGGGCGGGGAGGGTGGTGGACGTGGACATTACTTAGGGGATAAATGGATAGGACCTGGCGACTGACTGGGTATAGAGGCTGGGGAAGAGGATGGAATCTGTGAGGACTGTGTTCAGGCACATGTGTAGGCCCAGAAGGTTTTCTGGAAGAACTGTTTCTGGGCCAACTCAGAGGATGATTTACAAAGGAGGCAAAG